TTTTTTTAAAATTTTTATTTAACTTTTATTAATTACACTTTATTCATTTTGTTTCCCCTCAAAAGCCCCTCCCTCCTCCCCTCCCGGTCCCACCCTCCCCCTCCCCTTTCTGCATGCATGCCCCTCCCCAAGTCCACTGATAGGAGAGGTCCTCTTTGCCTTCTTTCTGATCTTAGTCTATCAGTTCTCATCAGCAGTGGCTGCATTGTCAGGGTTCTAGGTTATCTCCATGAATAGTCCTTGGTTGGAGTATGAGTCTCTGGGAAGTTCCCTGTGTTCAAATTTTCTTGTTCTGTTGCTCTCCTTGTGGAATTCCTGTCCTTTCCAGCTCTTACTATTACCCACTTTTTACATAAAATTCCATTCACTCTGCCTGTCAGTTGGCTATCAGGCTCAGCATCTGCTTTGACAGTCTGCATGGCAGAGGATTTCAGAGGCCCTCTGTGGCAGGTTCCTAGGTTGTTTCCTGTTTTCTTCTTCTGGCTTTCAGAGGCCCTCTATAGCAGGTTCCTAGTTTGTTTCCTGTTTTCTTCTTCTTCTGATGTCCATCCTCTTTGCCTTTCAGGATGGAGATTGAAAATTTTAGTTAGGGTCCTCTCTTTTGCTTAGTTTGTTTAGATGTACAGATTTTAATGGGTTTATTCTATGTTGTATGTTTATATAAGTGAGTATATACCGTGTGTGCCTTTCTGCTTCTGGGACAACTCACTCAGGATGATCCTTTGCAGGTCCCACCATTTACCTGCAAATTTCATGATTTTCTTATTTTTCATTGCTGAGTAATACTCCATTGTATGGATGTACCAATTTCTAATATATGCCAAGCCTTCTACTCTATATCCGTCAGAGGAATAGAAATACCAACAAATAACTTTTTCAGGTACAAAATCAGTGTTAATGACATATCTCACAAAATTAAGTACCTTCCTATTTCAAAATTATAAAAAAATTTAAGGTACTACTTCTCCAGCACAAAAATTGAATAAAAATTAATTTTTGTAAGAAAATATGAGACTTTGAACCCATAAATTTGAACCTTTGAACCCTTTAGACATTCTTACTGTGGATTCTAGGATGCTTCTCATCATTTTATACAAATTGTAAGAGGGCTGTGGCAAAGAAGGAGAAAAATAGTTCATCGCCCTCTGTCCAAACTATAAGGGAATCCATTTTTCTCTCAATACTACTATTTAATAATTTCTTGAGAATATATAAAAAGGAGATCAGCAAGTTCCGTGCTAAGTATGTTTTTGTTTCCATTTTTTTTTATTAGCTTGAAGAGGGATAGTAGATTAAGTCCCACCAGTTTTTATGCTGAATTACCTTAAATAAATATATGTAGCTGGAAGTAAGCATCCAGTTTTTTTTAAAAAAAAAACAATTTTACTGTGATATGCATTTGCAATCACTCCTCTGGGAGTATACTAATGAAGAACAAAATTTGATATGGCATATAACTTTAAATTCAAAGTACTTCTTGTTCTCACCAATGCATGTGTGATAAAAAGGATATTATACAAGAACATGGGAAGGAGGACTTATTTCATTGATAGTAAGAACACAGTTAATAATGTAGTTGTGAATGTTATGAAAGAGAATAAAAGCATAAGAATTCAATGATTCAATGATCTATGAATGAAGACAAGGGGAAATTCCTAAATGTGTTAAACTATAGATTGGCAAAAAAAAAAAAAAAAAAAAGAAGGAGAGAACATCAGCAAGACTTGTCAAAGCTAGCTATCTTTCTGAATCATTTAAAGAGAAATTCTAATTCCCTCGACCTTACAGCAGCAGACTGCATGAGGGAAATAAAGTATCAGAAAAAGGCTTGCTTCTGAAGCCTTTTTAATTCCCTTTAATTTGAAGTATTACCCAAGCCAAATCACTATTAGAAGCAGAAAAAAACAGCTCCATGATGATGGCTATAATAGCCTGAAGGCTCTTTATCATTTATCTCTACAAAGAGGGTGCTGTAATCATTACTTTCCTATAGAAAAGTATTTCAGGATGAGGTGGCATGAAGTAAGTTTAAAGTTTATGACAATAAAATTAAATGAGGTTTTATGTATAAGCATGAAGAAAGTATAAGAAAATTAAAAAGAGTGCACAGTTAAGATATGGATACCGATTTCTAAGGAGAGCCATGCCTGCATTTGGTAACAATCCTTAACTACACAATTTTGGTGGTTTCTGAAATTGTGTTTAAAGAGTTTATGACTTTTTAAAAATTAGTAGGTTATTGGAGGCAAGTCCAGGCTTATGTGATAAAACCATAAGTTGACAAGTTTACAAAGACTCTTTGTTGAACTGAGATAGAATTGATTTAAGACATGGATCTGTCTCCATGTACTCCATGTTAAAAAAAAAATATTTTTCTTTGTGATATTCTGGTAAATGTAATTCAATTACTTGTGTTCTGGAAAAAATTTAATTTAAACTCGAATGGTGTAAATTCAAACCGTATCTTTATCTATAGTTAACTGATGTTTTGGACATTATTATATTAACTATACCTTTGTGGAAAGAACTTTTGTTAGGTATGCCAAAATTCTTGACTCTCAGTAAGAGGTTTCAATAAGACTACAGTGTGAAGGGCTCTTTTCTCTTCCCAAGTACCCTTCATATTCAGATTTCTTTCCATCTTTCCTCAGAACTAAAAGTTAGGATATCATGCTCTGGGCTTCAGTGATTTCAATATAATCTTTGTGTTTTTCTTCTTAATCTACCTTTTGTTATACAAATCCATTATAACTGAGAATTATAAATGCGTAATTGTTTTTCTTTTTTATTGAATAACCTTGTATAAAATAAATGATTTTTTCTCTACTAAGGATTAAATCTAGACCTTATGTTTGACAGGCAAGAATTACATGTACATTAATTTTGAAAATATAATGACAAAGATTTTGAAAATTTATATTCATGACATACGTATAGTAATGAATACTCAAGTAGGAGTAAAAATTGGAAAGAAACAGCAGTATCACAGTGAAAGACAATGTGTTCCACTTCAACTTTGAATGAATTCATATTTAGAAAATTCTATGCAGAAAATCATCTGTACTTATGAATAGGGTAAATTTATGGAATAAATGATTATCACAAGCACCCAAAACATTTTATAATGTATAACGAAAAGGACTGAGGGTTAAGTTGGATGTAAGATTTTAAAGATTAGAATTTAACTATCTTACATGAGATAAAAATTAATTTCAGGTTCTGTTGCTCTCCTTGTGGAGTTCCTGTCCTCTCCAGGTCTTACTATTTCCCACTTCTTACATAAGATTCCACGCACTCTGCCCAACAGTTGGCCATAAGTCTCAGAGTCTGCTTTGACAGTATGCAGGGCAGAGGCTTTCAGAGGCCCTCTGTGGCAGATTTCTAGCTTGTTTCCTGTTTTCTTCTTCTTCTGATGTCCATCCATTTTGCCTTTTGGGATGGGGATTGAGCATTTTAGTCAGGGTCCTCTCTCTTGATTAGTTTCTTTAGATGGACAGATTTTAGTAGGTTTATCCTAATGTTATATGGTCTATATGAGTGAGTATATACCGTGTGTGTGTTTCTGCTTCTGGGACAGCTTACTCAGGATGATCCTTTCCAGATTCCACCATTTACCAGCAAATTTCATGATTTCCTTATTTTTCATTGCAAAGTAATATTCCATTGTGTAGATGTACCACAATTTCCACAAGGAGAGCAACAGAACCAGAAAATTTGAACACAGGGGTCTTCTAGGAAACTCATACTCCAAACAAGTACCATGCATGGAGATAACCTAGAACCCCTTCACAGATGTAGCCCATGGTAGCTCAGTATCTGAATGGGTTCCCCAGTTAGGGGAAGAGTGACTGTCTTTGACATGAACTCAGTGGCTGGCTCTTTGATTACCTCTCCCTGAGTGAGGAACAGCCTTACCAGGCCACAGAGGAGGACAATGCAAGCAGTCTTGATGAGACCTCATAGATTAGGATCAGATGGAAGGGGAGGAGGACCTCCCTTATCAGTGGACTTGGAGAGGGGCATGTGTGAAGAAGGGAGAGGGAGGGTGGGACTGGGAGGGGAGGAAAGAGGGCTTTATGGGGGGGATACAAAATGAATAAAGTGTAATTAATAAAATAAAATTTAATTAAAAAATTAATTTCAATGACTTGTGATTTTTCTGAAATATAAACAAAACATAACTTTTCTTTTCCCATATCTATTTTAATTCCTTATTTAGGTGACAGAGACCAATAAAGTATCTAAATAATCCTCTGCTGTTAACTTCCTTTAATATGCCAAATCAGTTTAATTACAGTTTCTATAAATAATCTATGCAAAATACTTCCCTGAACAGAATGCACTTTTCCTTCTCTGTGTGGCAAATTTTAATACTTAAAAGCATTAGAACAGATGTTAGGTGCCTGCTAAACTTGTTTTCAGTTTTCTTTTATTTATATGTTAATGAGAATTTAATTACTTCATGAATACTTAAACAACCTGAGGGTGCCTGATATCATTAGCTTGAACATGACAAGCACCTCAAGTGACCACATGGGAAGACAAAAATTGCTTTTAGTTTACTTGAAGACAGAAAGATGAATTCATTTCACCCCCTGCTATGTTTTACCTGACACACAAAACTGGAAAAAGCACAGATGCAATCTTGCTTCAACATGAGTGAAAAAAAAAATCAGGAAAGCACTAAGAAGCATAAATTCTTCCTATTTGGTTTTGCTTCAATGTCTTTTAATAACTACTCAAGCTATACTGTGCTTTAAAATCTTATTTCACTAGAAAGTGTTCTGCTAAAGTAAGTCTCCCTTTTTTTGTTTTTATGGATTATAGCGATGAACATTTTAAACACCATTTATAACTTTGAAATAGTTCTCCATTTGAGCACAGTTGAGAGAGTTTACTTGGCCAGATTGTAGGGAAGATGTAACAGGAATAAAATTTGTAAATCTTTACATGTAATTTTTGATACCATAGTGGAAAGGTAAATTTAATAATGCTAAATAGTTGTTCCTAGAGGCGTTGCAGGTATGGCTGCTCTGTCACATATTTGTCAGCAAGTAAGTGGCAGAGAAGAGAGAGGCTATGTCTACAGTTAGCTTTCTTACTGGTGAACATCTGAATTAGTCGCCTAAGAGTTCCTGAGTAAAGCAAGCCTAAGACAACCACCATTCTAGAACTAGGGGCTCCAGACAGGGAGCTATCCCGAGAGGACCACCAGTCCAGTGTCACACAGACCTTGACAGGATCCCAAGGAAGGAAGAGAGCCAGATTCTGTAAGAACCCTGGGTGGGACTGTGGGCCAAGGGCAGGAGTGAGCCCAAGACAGACAACCCTCACATGGGGCCACTAAGGTGGGTCTCAGCTAGGAGCAAGCCCCAGATGACCATCAGATCAATGCTGTGGGTCATGGACGAGCAGCTAGACTGAGATGACCACCAATCTGATGCCATGCAGGCCTGGGGCCACATTATGCCCGAGATGACACATCCCCAGGGACATAATGCACAACCATGGCATGGCGAGACCCTAATTGAAATTGAAACACCACTACAGCCTGACATCAGATCTGGGCTTATGCCACCATAGGCTTCAGTCTCAAGAAGAAGAAGGAGAAGAAGGAATAAGAGGAGAGGGAGAAGGAGAAGAAGGCCTAAGCTCCCATTTTCCAAAAAAGATCAGCAGTTACTAGAAAATAAACACATAAATGGGCAGCCAATCAAAGGCTGCCGGACTGTCTGGTTGGAAAATAAGGTTGCTTAACTGTACCTTTAGAAATACTCTATCTTATGATTAACTAATGATAGATGACCATCCCAAAAGTTGCCTGAGTTTTGAATGCTCCAATTATACTAAGGACTACCTAACCCACCCTAAAATTTCTCCTGGGTACCTATAAAAGAAATATGCTAAATCAATTTGGGGTCTTTCACCATTTTGCTTTGCATAGGTGAGGTCCCCACTGCATTGTTCTTCTGCAGAATAAAATGCTCTTTCCCTGTCCCAAAAGGCGAAGAGGAAGGACATCAGAAGAAGAAGAAAACAGGAAACAAGCTAGAAACCTGCCACAGAGGGCCTCTGAAAGGATCTGCCCTGCAGACAATCAAAACAGATGCTGAGACTTATGGCCAACTGTTGGACAGTGTGCTTGGAATCTTATCTGTTATTTTTCCATCCATTTCAATCTTGGAATAAAGAAATGAATCACACTTATAATTATTAAAGTTCTTGAGTTTAAAATTGCCATCTTATGGGATAGCAAATGGCTGAGTATGTAAATGTGCCAAGCTTGATAACCTGACATTGATTCAAGAGTCACACTTGATGAAAAGAAAAAATCAACTTCTTTAAGTAGTCCTCTGACTTTCACCTGAATATGATACATGAACTGACTCACACATGTACACACAATAAATAAATAAATAAATAAATAAATAAATAAATAAATAGATTTATTAACATGTTTTTAAAAATATTATACATTTAGTTATAAACTTCTCACATCTCATGTTATACCTGTATTTATTGGATAGTTTCCTTTATATATAAATAAACATGTATTTATTCTAATATTTATATTAAAAAGATGCCTTTTATAAATTCCAACTGTGAATATTCAGTATAACTTTTATAGCATAAAAGTTACAAGAGAAAATTTATGCTCTAAAACATTTTAACATTTATTTACTAAAGCAAAATAATAGCAAAATAATTTATTTACTAAAGCAAAATAATAATAATTATTATTATTATTAATTTCTAAGATCTAATCAGAAAAGTTATTAATTTCAACAGTTTAACTACAGTACATGAAGAGAAAATTTCAGCCTCTATTAGGATTACATAGTAGACACATTTCCTTTAGAGACAAGGTAAGCTACAGTTATTCACACTATTTGAATTTTTAGTGATACTTTTCAACAATATACAAAGATATGTTTTTAAAACTAGTGGCAGTACATATATGAAATACAATCAATGTTTTTTAATGTATGTGAGTTATAATATCTGAGTCATTTGCGTAGAACTTGAACTACTAAATCATTAGTCACATACAGGTTTGAGAATTCTTGGCCTCTTAAGACCTATAGGATGACAATATATCTAGGCTCTTGTTAATTAATTATCGGGCTTTGCTAGGCATCTTCAAGTAGCATCCCATCTTTTAACAAGTTTCAGAACAAGTGTATGAAAGGACAAGAATCTGAAAGTAACGACTTTAGAGTAAAGTACACCATCATATAATGTAGAGCAATTATTTAGAAAGAGTGAGCTTCATGAAACACAATTTAAAGATGAAGAATGGCTACAATTTTTCAAATTAGTTTTAGATTGCTCACAATTTTTAATGTACTGAGAAAAGTACATTGAAAACCTCAACACTTATTTGACAAAAAGCCCTAAATTACTATTCGTGTGAAATGGAAGCTATAATGTTCTGATTTGCTAGTAATATGGGCAGGGTAGAGAACATGATAACAAAGTTCTTTGCTTCATTTTTATTAGTGCCTTGATAATTTTGTGCAATGTATTTTTGTTCATATTCACCTCTGCCTCCCAGATACACCCTCATTTCCCTACTATAACACTCAAATTTGTACCATCCTTTTTAAACACTTCAAATATAATTTATGCTGCTCATTTACTCTTGGATATGTGACATTGTCATGTGGTTTACTCATCAGGGAAGACACCTTTAAAGAAAATAAATTCTTCCACCGCCAGGAGTTATCTCATTTGCCATTAGCTCCTTGGATAGCGATGGGAATTCAAGCCTATTTCCTCTCTTCATGCTAAAATTTTGCCTGTCCTGATTCTGCAGAGATCTTGTGCATGTCGTCTGAAGCATTGTTTGTTTTTCTGTGCACCTGCTCTTCATTGTCCAGAGAACACCATTTCCTTGTCACTATCTGTGTCTGTCATAGTATTTCTGTTTCTTCTTCTGTCATAATCACTGTATCTTGAGGAGAGTGGCCTGTGATATTCTCATTTAGGTCTAGTGATTATAATGCCACTTATTCTATGTATCGTGATCAGTTGTAGCCTCTGTATTACTTGTTATCTATAAGACCACAGAGGAGGACTTTGCAGCCAGCCCTGAAGATACCTGATAAACCAGTATCAGATGTAATGGGAGGAGGTTCTCCTTTATCAGTGGACTTGGAAAGGGGTAGGGAGGAGATGAGGGTGGGATTGGGAGGGAAAGAGGGAGTGGGATACAGCAGGGATACAAAGTTAACAACTGTAACTAATATTTAAAAAAATAAAAATAAATAAAAAAATAAATAGAAACTCCCATGAAGGTTGACCCATGCAGTGAAACATCAGTATAACAGTAATTCACTGGAAGTTAATACTATATCCATTTAACATATTAATAGTACTAGATTCTCCCTTAGGCCTTGTGATCTGTTTAGCCACAGGATTTTGACCCAAGTAACAGTTTGGGCTTACCAGGTTGTGAAGCAATCCAATCAGATAAAAGCTTCTCTGGGAACAGTTGTGTACTATTGCATCTGTGGGTGTGTCTTGCCAGGCCTGTCATTTTTGTAGCTCACAGAGTTCAGAGCTGAGTGTATTAGGAGTTTCTTTTTCTCTTCTAGCAGTATTAATAGTTTTCGTGACATCTTCTTTCTTCCTCTACTACGTAGAAATTTAGTGAAACTCAGATGTCATGACTTTCCTTATCTTAAAGTTTTAGTCATAAAAGAAAACAACATAATAATATGAATTTACGTAGACAATCAACTCCAAATTTTGTTTTTGACTAATGGAAATAAGTCGAGATCATTTTGTTGCATGTCTAAGCCATAAGATTTTCAAGTATTATAAGCCTTGAGTCCAAATTTTATACAGCAGTCATTTTACTGGAATAAATACCATTTTCTTTTATTCGCAAATGGAATATGCTGCTTGTTTGATGTCTACATTTTAGATATGCTTCTCCAGGACAATCCTCAAAGAAATTTTGAATCAAGAAGTATGAGTTACAACCAGTAGCAGCATGCAAATCAAAACCTTGGTTTTGGCTTATAGTTTTGAAAAATAAAGCCATAATGCTGAGAAAGGCATGGAAGACAGAAGCTGCCCACAAATTTATTGCACCATCATGTTCTATCAAATCCAGAAGTAAGCTGAAAGACAAAGATCCTTCTTCACACAGGAAGCAGAGGGTTAACTGAAAGTCTGACTAAGCTATAAACTCTGAAAGCTCACCTTCAGTGTTGTGTTTCCTACAGCAAGACTCTTGGTCCTAAAGTTTCCATAATACCCAAAGCATCACCACTAACTGGGTACAGAGTTTTCAAATACATTAGCCTATAATAGACTTTTCTCATTCAAACCATGTTGCACAGGACACATAAGCAAAAATGAGAGCCAATCCTCTTGATAACCAAAATAAACACACACACATGGGTGCGCACACACACACACACACACACACACACACACACACACACCACACAAACAGCACACACACACCCCTCTCGCACCCCCCCATGCACACTCCCCCACACATACTACACAAACACCTATCACCACCACAAATATAAACACAGAGAGGGGTGGTGGGGAGGGAAACTGTTTCTGCTTACCAGAAAAAAAAAAATCAGAGGAAGATCAAATTTATCAGTTATTTTAGCTACTACTTTAAGGAAAACAATTGTATCAAATCCAAGTGCAGGTTTTTTTTTTTTTAATGCATCCCATGTAATTCCAAAAAAATTAAATCATCTTTATCTAATTCATAATAAAATTTTCACTTGGGAGTTCCAAGGCAGAATTAGCATTTCCATTCACATAAAAGCCACAAGAGATCTTCAAATACACCTGTTTATCTACGCTTCTTAATGTTTCTGAAAATTGGAGCCAGAAACATAAACAAATCATAAACCTTCCTTGTCAAACAAATTGTTCAACAGGAATCCTAATTTCGGTTATGAAAGATCACCAGAAGGTTGGCAAGATACCACCAGTTGGCTAAAAGCCACAAACAATAAGGAAACAAAAGAACAACAAGGCTCATTGTCCTGTATCAGTGAGAATTCACCAAGGAAACAACTTTAGGGAAACAGATTACAAACATTCATTTTATTTTCCCCCAGTCTTTATCACAATTAGTGCAGGCTATGAAAATA